CAGCCATAAAAAGAAACGAAATTGAGCTATTTGTAATGAGGTGGATAGATCTAGAGTCTGTCATACAGAGTGAAGTAAGTCAGAAAGAGAAGGACAAATACCGTATGCTAACACATATATATGGAATTTAAGAAAAAAAAATGAAAAAAAAGGTTCTGAAGAACCTAGGGGCAGGACAGGAATAAAGACGCAGACATAGAGAATGGACTTGAGGACACGGGGAGGGGAAAGTGTAAGCTGGGACGAACTGAGAGAGTGGCATGGACATATATACACTACCAAATGTAAAATAGATAGCTAGTGGGAAGCAGCCACATAGCACAGGGAGATAAGCTTGGTGCTTTGTGACCACATAGAGGGGTGGGGTAGGGAGGGTGAGAGGGAGACGCAAGAGGGAGGAGATATGGATATATATCTATATTTATAGCTGATTCACTTTGTTATAAAGCAGAAACACACCATTGTAAAGCAATTATACTCCAATGAAGATGTTAAAAAAATATCTATCAAGAACTAAAAAAAGTTAAATAAAAAATAAATTAAAAAAATAAAAAGCTTGTGAAAATGTTAAAAGAAAAAAGAGATCAGTCATCTTTAACCTGATAACTGATATTGGTAATTAGGCCCTGCATTTATATCTGTGCATTGCATATCTGTGCAATCAAACTCAATCGTCAAATATTTCTTGTACCCTGAGCTACTGGTAGATTGTATATGAACTTACACAAATCAGCAGAAAAGAAAGTTACTGAATGGGACAGTGTAAGGCAAGAATTTCAAGCTCATATCTTTCCTCAGTGGGAGTGGCTTGTGAGATGCACAGAGGGGATCAGTGGTTCTCAGCGGGGGTAATTTTGCCTCCGAGAGGACATTTGGCAATGTCCAGAGACATTTTGGTTGTCGCAACTGAGAAGAAAATATTGGCATCTAAAGACCAGGAATGTTGCTAAATATCTTACAATACATAGGTCCTCCCCAACAAAGAATTATCTGGCCCTAAGTGTCAGTAGTGCCATGGTTGAGAAACCATGCCCTTGGATATTTAGAACACGTCACCTGGGGCCACTTAAGCAAGCACTTCAGTGTGATGTGGGTGGTGGCAGTGCATCCCAAGGGGAACCCAGAGTCTGCTAGAAAACTCTAGTTTGATGAATTGTTTCAGGAGAAGCAACGTGGTGTAGTGGAGGGAGCACAGACGTGGGTTTGAATCCCAGTATGACATATTGGCTTCAGGACCTGGAACAAATTATGTAACCCTGATCCTTATTTTCCTAATAAAATGGTGATAAAATTATCTACCTCATGGTGTAATTGTGAGGTTTTTGTTTTTGTTTTTGTTTTCCGGTGGCGGGCCTCTCCCGTTGCAGAGCACAGGCTCCGGACGCGCAGGCTCAGTGGCCATGGCTTACGGGCCCAGCCACTCTGTGTCATGTGGGATCTTCCCGGACCGGGCACGAACCCATGTCCCCTGCATCGGCAGGAGGACTCTCAACCACTGCGCCACCAGGGAAGCCCTGTAATTGTGAGGTTTAAATGAGAAAACTGAAATTACTGTTGACACATAGAAGGACATCTAGAGCTTCAATCATGTTAAAATAGATGAAGTATTTACAAGCAAAATATATAATGTGTAAGATACAGTGGAGTCCCATGGCTGGTGTAAAGAATATGACCCCCTGGGACTTCCCTGGTGGCACAGTGGTTAAGAATCCGCCTGCCAATGCAGGGGACATGGGTTCGAGTCCTGGTCTGGGAAGATCCCACATGCCGTGGAGCAACTAAGCCTGTGCACGACAACTACTGAACCTGCGCTCTAGAGCCCGAGAGCCACAATCACTGAGCCCACGTGCCACAACTACTGAAGCCTGTGCGCCTAGAAGCTGTGCTCCGCAACAAGAGAAGCCACCGCAATGAGAAGCCTACGCACCACAACGAAGAGTAGCCCCCGCTCGCCACAACTAGAGAAAGCCCGCGCACAACAACGAAGACCCAACACAGCCTAAAATAAATGAATAAATAATTAAATTTATTTAAAAAAAAAAAAAAGAATATGACCCCTTAAAGTTCAAAGCACTGGGGGCTATGGCTTCCCCAGAGAGGCATCCTGGACAGTAGTGGGATATCTTGAAGTGGAGAAGCCCATCCACATCATCCCTGAAAGCTGGCTCCTGGGGAATTCTCTGGCAGTCCAGTGGTTAAGACTCGGTGCTTTCACTGCCCTGGGCCCAGGTTTGATTCCTGGTTGGGGAACTAAGATCTCCGCAGGCCGTGTGGTGCAGCCAAAATAAAAAGAAAGAAAGCTGGCTGCCTGCCTGTTCATGATGTGTGGCACAAGGGGTCCAGGAGCCTGCATGCCCCCATCACCTGCCTCAAAGGTTTAAGCTCTTTAGCAACTTCACATAAATTACTGAATGCTCTTTTTATATCAGAATATCTTTAAATATATTTGAGATGCAAAAGGAATTCAAAATAGCTATCCTCAGTGATACACTTGGATTAAAAATTAAAGATACTTAAATTTTTTGAGTTATCCCAGACTCTATTCAAAACCTTTAGCTAACCAGAACATATTTGCATTCTATTTGTATAAAAGAAAGGAATTGGAAATTTATTCTGAAAAGCCTTTCCCCGTCTCCTTTACCTGTATTTATAATGCTGTACAGTGAGAGTGATGGTTTTTAGGATAAGCAGGATATTGAAAATGGACTTGAAGGTAATTTAATGCAGTGGTTTCTGACTTTTAAACACCAAAGCCCTCTTTTTTACTCCCTTGTGCCCTGTGTTTCAAAAGCTTTTGTTTGCCAAACTGCATTTATTAAAGAATAATTCTTTTATTTTTTGCTATTCAAATTCATGTATAACCACTAATCATACTTCTGATTGGTATGACATAACCAGATTTAAGTATTAAAATTCCTGTCCAATTTGTAAAACTGAGTGCCACAGAATAAGATCTACCTGTTAGGGAGTAGCCTACATTGGAACTTTGGGAAAAGAGCCTGAAGGATGAAATTTTACCTTCATGAGACCTTAAAAAGCTAAAGAACCAAGCTCAGGACCAAAGCTGAGAGAGCATCAAATCTCTTTGAGGACAGGGGTGATTGGAATGTGGGTTAAGCGTTGGCTCCATGTAAAGATTTCATAGGAAACAAGACTGCTACAACCTGGGGAGAGAGTGTGTGAATATAGTAGAGGAAGGGAATGTTACCCAATAATCTGCCAATTTAGTCCACTTTTCTTAATTTTTGATGCCCTTACTTAAAGAAGCCACCATCTTCATCTCGTGTTATTACCACAGCCTCCCTGCTTCCATTTCTGTACAGAGCAGCCTGAATGATTGTTCTTTAGAATAAATCTGATAGTGCCACCCCTCTCCAGACTTCTGCAGTGGTTTCCCACTAACCTGAGCCTGAAGTCCAGTCCTTAGTGGGGACACATGTCCTGATCCGGCCCCATTCACCCACTCCTTCGATGAATATTTATTGAGCTTCTAATATACCACAAGCACTGGGGGGTATGAAGAGCAGAAACAGACAACAGTCTCTGTCCTGGAGCTTATTTATAATAGCAGAGGAGAGATTAATTAGAATCTTTTTTTTTTTTTTTTTTTTTTTTTGCGGTACGTGGGCCTCTCACTGTTGTGGCCTCTCCCGTTGCGGAGCACAGGCTCTGGACGCGCAGGCTCAGCGGCCATGGCTCACGGGCCCAGCCTTTCCGCGGCATGTGGGATCTTCCCGGACCGGGGCACGAACCCGTGTCCTCTGCATCGGCAGGCGGGCTCTCAACCACTGCGCCACCAGGGAAGCCCTAATTAGAATCTTAAGTTAAATTACAACCATTGGAAGTGGCACAAAGGAGAGGCATGATACTGCCGTGGGGACCTTTCTGCAAAGTGCTCACCTTTCTAAACCCAACATTTACCCCTGAACTATCTGCAGTTCCCCAAGCACCTAGGCACTACCCTCTTGCCTTTCCACGAGCTGTTCCCTCTGCTTGGAGGGCTCTCTCCTGTGACGATAGAAATGGAAGAACAGCTTCAGGGCTAACAGCACATTTTGGCTTCTGTAAGAAAATTGCTTTGCTTGCTTGCTCAAGAACAGGAAGGGAGCGTACCCTTCCTGGAACAGAACAGCCCACGGTGTACTTTGGCTGCTACAAAGGGGGAACTCTGCTTGTTTGAGGCGGGAAGAACCGGGTTCCTGATTGGCTGGTTCAAAATTAAACAGCTCCCTCCCGCCTTGGGGACTTCCCGCCCTATGAAGGGTATAAAAGCCTCGCCCAACTCTTAGTCGGGGTCTCACTCACTTCTCTCCGAGTGGGACCCTGTCCGGACAGTTTGTGTAAGCTTCTATACTTGAATAATCCTTTGCTAATCCTTCTACTTGGTGTTGGTGACTCTCGGGTGTCCTTGGTTGGGACACGGGTCGCATTTACCGGGGGACTCCAGGCGTGTGGCTCCCGCACTGCAACACTCCCTCCTTACCTAGCTCCACTATTTCTTTAGTACGTCCCATGTGTTGGGTACTGTGACAAGGACTTACCACCAATTTCCTCTTGCATTCTTTGGCTCAGTCTTAATTGGTGGGTACTACTGTTATCCCCGTTTTCTAAACAGGAAATTAAGGTCAAGAAGGCAACGTAATTTGCCCAGAGACCCGAAACTAGTAAGTGAAGAAACTGGGATTCAAGCCCAGGACTGCCTGACTCCAAAGCCCTTTTTCTTAGGCACTGAAGTACTGTGTCTCCCAACTCCTTCACGTTCACCTCATTCCCCCAGGTCGCCTTCCCTGACACACACCCAGTCGGACTTGAGCGCTTCCACTCTGTTCCCACTGGCCACAGCCACAACACTGTAACTTTAACTTTCTAGTCACCCCACTAGACTGAGAACAACCTAGACAAAGACCGGATCCGCATGTTTGAAAGCTCAGTGACTGGGGAGGAGACTACAGCTCACGTGGGCGGAAGTGCGGCGTCCCCCCCCCCCCGGGCTTGTCTAGGAAGACCGGAGGACTGGACTTGGTGGCCATCCGGTTCTTTTGCCCCGGGGGGGCGGGGCGAGGGGCGGGCTGGCCTGACTCCGAGCCGCCCCTGGCTGACCGCGGCTCCACCCGTGACAAGTTGCTGGAGGTGGGGGGACAATGGCCGAAGCGGCGGAGGTAGCACTAAGTGATGGGGACACTGAGGGTGGCCCGGCGGCGAGGCCCCGTAGTGGCGGTGCATGCGGCGCTGGGCTCCTGGGCTCAGGTCTCTGGCTCCGACGGTCTGGCCCAGGCGCCAGGGCCCCAGTCAGTCACGGTCTCATCCCGTGATCTCCCGCTCGCAGCCCCAGCCCACAGCTTTGAGGTCCTCCGGGCGGCCCACCCAGCCCGGGTAGGCAGGATGGCCCTTCCTGGCTCAGCGCCTCCAGGGCTGTTATCTACGGGAGCAAAGACCGTACGGGATGCGGCCAGGCCGGGTGCGCTGCCAGTCCACGCACAAGGTGGCCTCCCCGAGAACCGAGTGCAGGAGAGTGAAGGGGACCAGGTCATGCTGGGTAAGGAGCTCCTTCAGTGACTCCAAGAGTTATTTATGGAGACCTTGTGACCTTCGCAAAACGAAGTTTCTTCTGGGTTGGATGAGGGTCAGGGTGGTGGCTTCTTGGATTTGGAACAAGCATCACAGAGCTCTGAATCCCTCTGGGATACAGAACTGTCTCTGTTCCGTTTTGAACTATTATCTAGAAAGTCAGGCTCACTGTGCCAGTGCTCGTCCCTCCCACCCCCACCTTCAAAAAATGCAAATAAAATGAGACATCCTGATGCCTTGCAGTTATTCCTGCACTCAACTAAAGTAAGTTAGATATGGTACAGTAATAAACAGAATTAAAGATTTCTGAACAGTGATTAACATGACGAAAGTGATGCATAACTAACAGCATTGTCCAGTCTGAACTGAAGCGGGAAAATCTTGGTGTCAAGATCATTAACCAAGTAACAAAATTAAAACTATCCATTATTTATTGAGCGCTAACTCTGCCAGGTGTCATTTTAAGCACTTTACATGTATTTAATCCTCACAAAACCTCTTTTAAATGCTATTACTGTCCACATTTGATGAGGAAACAGAGGCACAGAAAGGTTAAGTAAATGAAGGTCACACCGCAAATAAATGGTAGAGGCAGACAAGGCAGCCTATGTCCAGAGCCCATGTTCTTACTGACTATGCTCCAGTCTCTTATGGTAATCTACTGAAATCGGGAAAGCCATGAGTGGTGCCAGGGGGAAATTACAGGAATGGAAAGAATGACATTGTTTTTTCTGGAAAATTAATTGGACTTCATGGTAAGCGTATTAGTTTCCTAATTACCACAAACTGAGTGGCTTAAAACAACAGAAATCTGGGCTTCCCTGGTGGCGCAGTGGTTGAGAGTCCGCCTGCCGATACAGGGGACACGAGTTCGTGCCCTGGTCTGGGAGGATCCCACATGCCGCGGAGCGGCTGGGTCCGTGAGCCATGGCCACTGAGCCTGCGCGTCCGGAGCCTTATTCTCACTGGTGTCAGGATTTAAGTAGCAAAAAGTAAAAAAAAAAACCCAGAAATTTATTCCCTCACTGTTACGGAGGCTACAAGTCCAAAATCAAACTGTTGGCTGGGCCATGCTCCCTCTGAAGCCTCTAGGCAAGGATCCTTTCATGCCTCTTCCAACTTCTGGTAGCCCTAGGGGTTCCTTGGTTTGTGGCAGCATAATTCCAATATCTGCCTCCATCTTCATATGGTCGTCTTACTTCCGGTTCTCTGTCCAAATTTCCCTCTTCTTATAATGACACCAGTCATATTGGATTCAGGGCCCACCCTAATGACATCATCTTAACTTGATTACATCTGCAAAGACCCTATTTCCAAATAAGATCACATCCATAGGTGTCAGGTAGACATGAATTTTAGGGGGACAACATTTAATGCAGCACAGTAGGGAAAAATTATTCAAGAATAATGTAAGATTAGGAGCTTGGGGCAGGGCATTACCAGAGACAAGAATATTAGAAAAACATGTCAGTTTCAGAATTGTAAATTTAGAAATAATCTGGTTTCCAAGAGAAAATATTCACCATTTCATTTGGTTGTGAGATACAGATTTTGTCCAGGAAGTCCAGCTGGCTCTTTAGCTGGGCCTTACGCTCTGATCACCAGATTTCAAGGTCTGGTCCTACACTTTCCAGGTCCAGAAATTTTACTTTGTCTGTGTACCTATCCAGAATTATTCAGGCCAGGGAAATAGACTTACCCAAACCACAAGAAAGTGGTATAAAAAACAGGGGAAAATACAACTGCCTGATAGAAATTGAGCAGGCTGTCAACACATTTTCTATCTAGGAAAACCTATAGAGGAAGGTAAATTCTAATCAGAAGTTTGCTTAGGGCTTCCCTGGTGGCACAGTGGTTGAGAATCCGCCTGCCAAAGCAGGGGACACGGGTTTGAGCCCTGGTCCAGGAAGATCCCACATGCCACGGAGCAACTAAGCCCATGTGCCACAACTACTGAGCCTGCGCTCTAGAGCCTGCGAGCCACAACTACTGAGCCCACACGCCACAGCTGCTGAAGCCCATGTGCTTAGAACCCGTGTTCGGCAACAAGAGAAGCCACCCAATGAGAGGCCCACACACCACAACGAAGAGTAGCCCCCGCTCGCCACAACTAGAGAAAAGCCCGCATGCAGCAACAAAGACCCAAAGCAGCCAAAAAAAGAAAAAGAAAAGTTTGCTTAGTGGGCATGGAAGCAAAGCAAGGGCATTGTCAGGTAATATTAATGCAGATGTCATCCTGCTCTGATCACTTGGTATATCTACGTGCTCTTGGGAGGAGGGCAGGTGTCTGCCAAGGGGACAGAGAATACCCCCGTGAGCTGGAGTGAGCACCCTCCCCTGAATCAGTGCTGGAGGCACAGACACATTTTTGCTCTCTGAGTCCATCTTTTCTAGATGTAGAAACCTAGTGTTTCTTCATGTCGGGTTTAAGACAATTGATTAAGTTCCCCTGTCTTGATTATTATAATCATACTCCATCCAGTGCTCCTCTGAAACCAGGTCCTGGTAACTGTGATTGGACTTAGGAATTCCAGGATTTCCTTACCTTTTTGAGTTATTTCTGCATGTGGATAATTTCAGCCATTATATGTTGATACTTGCTGGTTTATTATTAAAGAGTAATCTCTTCCAAGTTCTATTGGCATCTTTACTTTGCTCCTTTGAAGGGATAGCAAGCCCACCCATCCTTCCTTTACCTCCACTACTCTCTATACTTCCCCACAGACTTATGTAATCCAGCACAGTGCTGTGTTCTTACTGGGCCCAGAGACAGCCTCTGCATTTAAAGTGGTGCTTTGAGGCAATTACTTTTCAGTCCTTCATGGTTAACAGTTGAGATAAAACTACTTGCCATTCTTCTCCCTATTTATTGGGTATATCCACTAAATGGCCAAGAAGATGAAACTGTGACTAAGGGTCTCACCTCTCAGGCAAAAATATGTCATAAACAACTCTTGAAGTATCAAGGCTGCTCACTATGATCCACCTAACTGCCCTTCTCACCTCCAGAGGTGGGCTCCCAGCAACCAAGTTTATCCTGTGTGATACCCCGTAGCCCCTACCACCACCGATTACAGTCAAAGTCAACACTTGACCGAAACTGGGATAACTGATTCTCTTTTCTAAGATTTTGGAAGTGGAACTAAAGAAATCTAGTTAATACAGGGCTGGTCTTTTGCATAAAGGAAATTTTAAGATCCAGGAGCTAAGGTACTAAAGGAAAAAGACAGTTTGCCGAGAGAATGATGTGGACTCAAAGTCTGATTCAGTAGCTCTCCCGTGTGTTTCTGACAATCAGCCAAGTTTGGGAACTGCTTTTATAGACCATAGAGACCAAAGTTAGGTTTAGAAGCCTTTCTCTTTCCCAGATTATAACACCATTTTTGAGAATCTAGAAGCTTAACCCAATCATAGAAATGTTTTACTTTGAACATTTGTTTCCCCTTCTAAGAATTTCTTTTCTCCTAGCATAGTGGAGGGAAGCCATATATATGTAACGAATGTGGGAAAGGCCTTAAATCAAAGCTCAGATCTGATTATCCATCACAGCATTTATACTTTTAACTTATGTTTCAGATAATGAAAAGAAAACTGAGAAGGAGGAATGGAAGCTAAAGCAGGAAATTTCTGAAGAAACAGGATCAGGACACCCAGTACAAATACCCCATGGATCTAAATTCTTAGGACCCAGGGAAAGTGAGAACAGCTTGGAGAGGCAACAGGTAAACTCAGCAGAGGCTGGACTGCTACACTCTTCTTTTGAGGAAAAGGGGTTCAGCCAAGTGAGCATTACCCTTAAGAAAGGAAAGCTTGACATTGATAAGAAACTGAGAATTTGTGATCTGACCCCAACCGTTACACATCAGAGAGTTTCAACAGAGGAAAGAACCTATAGGTGCAAGGCATGTGGCCAGAGCTTCAAAGAGAAGTCAGGACTTACTCAGCATCAGAAAATCCATACCATAAAGAGAAGCTGTTAGTGCAACAAATGCGGAAAGGTCTTCAGCAGG